GGGGGGCAGAACATGGTTGCTGTTATCTGGAGGGTGGCACTAGAGTGACTACAGGTGTTTCACATCTGAGTAACATGCACACATCCCTGTGAAAAGGTGTATTTGAGGTGTGTATCTGTACACAAGCACAATCAGAGCAGCGCATTCTTGTCAGCATGTTTATGTACAAGTCAGCACATACAGCAAGAAAGTGCATTTGTGTGTATAACTGCAAATTCACAACAGCAGAATCATATTGTAAAATGAGCTTACAGTTCCTATGTGCTTCATATGCAAACAATCTGAATTAAATCGTAATTTTTAGTTAATTATCATTAGTTGTAATTTATTATTTTGTCAATTAAATTTCACCATAACACTAAAAATATTGCTAAAATGGCATTTTATGAGCTAAAATAACATCAACAAGAAGATTTGATACTTGATGCTACTGTGTAAAGCCTTGTACGCAGGTGTTGACAGAGCAAATTAGTAAGAAGTTCACCTGACCTTTTGACAAATTGAACTTTGGCCAAATATGCTCACAGGACCTGAAAATATAACTATATTTATTGCACTTTACCTGAACTTTCTTCAAGGCCACTGACGTGTTGTCTAACAGGCACCGTGCTCTGTACACCTCACTGAACTGGCCACGTCCGATCTTCTTCTCGATCTGGAAGTTAGCCAAGGAATTATAGCCCATATCGGGCTGCAGCGGTTTCTGAATGAAAGGAAAGAACAACACTTAAAATGCATGCACACACACGCATCTTTATAGTCAAAAAGTAAACAAACACATGTATGCTATGTTTGTACAAGAAAACAAAATCTGTTAAATGTTTAAATACATTTCGCAATAAACCAAGTTTTTTAAAGAGCAGGTTCCTCCACATTTCCAGCAGAGAAAAAGAAGAGAATATGAGTGAAATGGTGTTGAGGCCTGCTTCCTCTGGTTTGTTTTGCTGAGAGGCTGCTTTAGGCTGCTGCTGATTTGGCTGCCATTAGGCTGATGTGTTACAGGAATGTGCATATACTTCACTCCAGAATAACAATAAAGTCCCATTTCATTATCTGTTACATAGTCACGCAGAGAATGGCTAAAAGTTGGAGAGCATAAAGATTATTCATAATTAAGAAGTGCGAGCACATAGTCAATACGATCTGATCGAACTGGTAAAAGCAGCACAAAAGTAGCCCGTTTAACTTATTTAACCAGACTGACAACTCTGCATTAACCAAACATTCACTTTCGATTCCAACAGTGAATAAAATTATGTGAATAATACTCAGCATTCATGCAACTGAGATGATCCATTTTTCTTCCATACATTTTTTGGCATCCAATTCGTTCAACAAATGTTTGTGCAATTTCAACAATTCATCCTTCATTTATGGTGCTATGACTTTTGGTATTTCCACAATTTATATTTTTTCAGATATTTAGCTTTATGTGCCATTTTTTCTCCATAAAAATGAATGAAGTTGTGTTCAAAGTCCTTCACACCTTTCAAAATGTTTATAAAACTTTACTACACCCCTTTTGTTCTGGTTCTGCATTGTTTCCAATTTCATTTTTTCTTCTGATTTTAGCTTTTCTTTGCTTTTTCAGCTTTCTTTCTGCTATTCTTCAGTTAATGTAAACTTTCATAAGCTTCCATCAGCTTCTTTTTGCTAATTTAAGCTTTATAAGCTTCTTTTACTTAATTGTGCAATATCACTATCATCACCTATTGTTATATCATTTAATGATATCTGAYAGGACCTTTGCATCAGTCATACTGTTTTAGCTTCAGAGTATTTTACTGTTATTTCTATTTACACTGTATAGATGCTAAAGAATGCTCATTGTTCTCTGTGTACCTTCGGTTCTCCAGAGTTTTATACTTACTTCTTCCTTGTGTGCTCTAATATTTCTTCTTTTATACTTTATCTCTAACTTGAACRGTTGCAGCTGTAATAATTGCAATTTCCCCCTAGGGATCATTAAAGTATTCTGATTTAGCTCATTTCTGCTAATAGCTGTTTTCTGGCTTTTTGGCTACTTTATAGCCATTTTCAACAAATTTTAGTTTATTATTTTTTTATCTAAACTTACCTTTTTGTTATAATCAGCTTCTTACTACTTAATTCAGCAAATGTGCTCTTTCTGCATCTTTGCTAATTTCAGCTTTTTCAGCTACGGTTTAACTGTTTTTTTATTCCAGTTGCTTTAGTGATTTAACAAAAAAATGCAACTATTTTGTACCCCTTTTCTTGCTTTTCTGCCAATTTGAGCTTTTAAATCTTCGTTCACCGTCTGTCTGCTAATTTCAACTTGTTTCTGCTACGGTCTACTTTTGTTTTCCTACTTTCAGCAAAAGTCAACTGTTCAAATTAACTCAAATTAACAGTTTCGCTATTAAACATTTTCAGCTTCTTCAGCAGCTTCAAGAATAATCTTTCAACATTCAGCATTCACACTGCATTTTCACAGAAAAAGCAAATTCTCTAGTTTATTTTATGTATTTTGCATGTATTAATCTAAAGTTTTCAGGAACAACCTAACGAGTTTTTTATTTTTTTATTTTCAGGATTCCCACACCTTGGTCAACATTAAATTAAAGGACCTTTCAAAGACTTTTCAATACCAATTTCTTGAAATTCAAGAACCACGCACGATGGCAATTACCTACTGCTACCACAGAATGTTACCAATAAGCAGTTTTAATATGTAAATTCTATAAAAAATTGGGAATCAATGAAAGAAAGTGGATGAAATGTACACCCTACATTCATATCCACAATACATGGACATGTAATTATGTCCTGGGAGGTTCAGTAGCTCAGTTTGGGAGGAGGGGGGTGTGAACACGTCCAGATGCTCGGTGAGGACAGGAGGAGCTGTGGTGCTCTCACCTGGGCTCAGAAAGAAAGACCCGCCCTACTCTGCTCTGATTGGATAAAACTATGACTATGGCTCATATTATTTGTTGAAAGCCACATCAATTTACTGTAATCCTGAGTTACTCACCGCAACGAGTGTAAGCTTTTGTTAAATTTAATTTAATTTTATTACAGATAATGAAAATCAGTCGTGTGAATAGAGAACTTCAATCCCCAAACAACATCCAAGGACTTTCAAGGACAAGTGTAATTTTTGGCTGTTTTCACAAACTTTCCAGGGCCTTGAAATAATTTTTTCAAATTCACAAACTTTCAAGGATTTCAAGGACCCGTGGGAACCCTGTATTTTATTTTATTTTTGCTTTTATATGTGTAATTCTCTATTTAATTCAATGGCGCAAAGGTGAAACATCTATTTTCTAAAAACAAAAGGAAAGAAAAAAGTTACATTTAAATTTACACAACAAATAAAAAATACAAAAACAAAACAAAAAAACTTATTTAATGTCTAAATTTACAGCCATGTAAAGCCTATCGCTTTGGTCTGCCAAGTTATATCACCACAAATCTGGTCCTGGTCCACAGATCAAGGCTCCTTAATTTGCCTCGCTCCATGGAGACACTCACCTTCCACCATTAACAAACAAAAAATACACTCAAAAATAAACTTAAAATTAGTCTTTCATATTGTGATGTGTGAAAAATTCACAGAGCAGACTTTGTGACCTTTCCAGCCTACTGGTTCACTTGTGAAACGTGCTGGCAAAAACAAAATAAAGGTGACAGATATCGGAATGCCACACGTCACCAGTACTTCTGCCAGTGTGGCTGTGGGAGGAGCTCAGGGGGCAAGAAACTTGGAAGAAAGGAAGATGAAGACGGAAGAAGGTCAAAAATTATTCTCCAACAAACAAAGACAAGACAAGAGGAGTGTCATCACATCTGTTCTCATCACTGGTGTTTTGCATTTGGACAAACTTACTATGAGTACAGGCTGAATGAACTCATTTAACTGGCTTATTATCAAGGGAGCAATTAGGTTTTAGTTTAGAACAAACAACAAATGTAACTGTAACTCATAGGCTTCTTAATTTTTAAAAAAAAAAATCACATCAGGATTAGTGTTTAACTTTCGGGATATTGTTCACTAAACACTTAATAATAAAATCTTTATTTGCAACACTAGCACAACCTAAGCACAAGTTATTTTCTGTAAACTGACAAAACAAAAAATAAATGCTATTTTTTAAACCTATAACTAGAGTAAAAAGTGCAAAGATGAAGTGAGACAGTGAGAGGAGGTGCAACTCTTAAAAGAATAGTTTATACTGGTCTAGAAGGCTGGATGAGGGGGTGGATGGGGGGCATAAACTCAAGCATTTACTTGTTTTTTTTTAAGTTGACAGCCAAAGCAGGAGGCGTGAACCAATCAGATGCCCCGTCCAATTAACACCACTGAGGTGTGTGCATTTTTCAGCATGAYACCACCATCATCCGAAGCCGTGTCAGAGTTACTGACAGCCAGCATCAGACGCTGCTCCACAACGCCCTGTTCACCTCAACATTACATCTGCATAACGCTTATAATGCTTCACTAATTGCTATCACCAAATACCTTATCAAAACAAAATGTTCCACAGAAGGTTCAAGTGTTAACTAAAATCACGTAGAGGGGAAAGAAAATTAAAAGTCTACAATAAGTGCATCACACAAAAAGGTGAAGCAATATTTGGCAACACAGTACCTTTTCATAATTTGCAGAAAATCTTGGTGAAGGATGGATAGATCAAGGTTTACGCATTTAAGGAGAGATAAAAAGCAACAGCAAGACAGAGGACAAGAGGGCATTGCTTTCATTCGTTGCGTGGTAGCTTGACAAATGTTAGCATGAGCCTCTAAAGCGCTGTGACAACCGCCTGCTGAGAGCACAGTCTTGCTAATGTGTCTTGGCATGCCAGCTTCGTAATCACACATTTACATATGCAATGACCTACATTTGCATGTCAGCTCGCACGCTGTCCAGCATGATTAACAGTGGGCACCTCCCCGTGTGGAGTCGCCCTGGGTGGCAGCAGAGGCCATGCGAGGGCAGAATAGAGGGCTGGAGGGAGGGCGGTTTTTCTGGCAGCCAAGGGGCCGAGCTGCCAGGCAGGATTATGTCAGCCGGCGGCCTCGACATTAGACACTTCATTAGAGCTAATCTGTTTAGCAGTGGGCAGTGTATGTAAACTTCACAGGCCATTTGCGGCACCTCTTCGCCCCCTGGCCTGGCCTTCAAAGGGCAGGCAGGCCAGGGCTGAGTGACGGGCCGTCTCATCAGTCGCACACGAGTGTCACACAATCAGAAGCTCCCAGCTGAAAGACAAGGCCACAGCAAACACACACACTCTCACACACATACAGACATATAAAAGGAAATCACAGAGTAATGACCCTGAAAGAGGCTGGGGTCAAAGTCTGGTTGAATCAAGATTCGATGGAAATATAGAACATTTTTATAAATTTAAACTCCATGTGCTGGTTAGACGTGCTGAAAGAGATCAAAAATAAAAAGATGTTGGTTTATTTTATTTATTTATTTTTTACCTGCCAAGCTCCAACTGGGACAAAAATCTTGGAATACTATCTATCATAAAGACATAAATGCATGTCTCAAAACAATCATGCAACCCCCCCAAAAATACTTTACTTAAAAGTCTGTAATACCTCTGGGTGTAAATTAACTTGCATTATTAGTTTCAAAACTAAAAAGAAAACCATCAAACATTTAAAATACAATCAAAGCTGTGTACAAATGTGTTGGTGAGTGGTAAAACAACACAAAGAACAGTTTTATGA